AAATTTAGAAAATTTCTTTAAGAAGGTAAGAATAGTTAAATTTTAATGTCAATATTTTACTAAATTAAGTGGTGATCAGTGACGTGAACTTTTGGTATTGAGATTGGGTGTCCCTCCATTGGTGGTGGTTATAGCTCAGTGCTATAGACATCATAATTAATTATTTGACAAAAAATATAAATTAATTAAAAAATATAAAATTGTGTGACCATAATAATTGGTCGTGGTCGTGGTTGACCAGTGACTAAGGTGAGTTACGGTGGAAGAGATATTTAAGAATGGAATCTGGAAGAGGAAGAGTGAGGAATGAGAAATAAAAGAAAATAATATAAATAAATAATATAATAAAACTTTTAAAATTAAATAGATGGGCAAACACGTTGGCCCGTTAACTTGCAGGGTTAGCTTGTTATTGGACCGTGACCCTTTGGTTTCTATTAATGGGTCACAGGTAAAAAATGTTTCATCTTAACTTATTTTAAGCAAGCAGCCAATAAATGGATTAACAGGTTGGATAAAAAATTATCAGATTTAATGTTGTATTTGAAATTTAGAGATACAATTTTTTAGTTTTACTTCTCTGAATTAATTTGAGCTATTCTGATTTATGGGACATTTAGTGACGATGACTTATTTATTATGAGATTTTAAGTTCAATTCTATGGGAAGTGAGAAAAGTTTATTGTTCCCTTTTTACATTCACTTATTGAGGCTTACTTTAACCGTGCTGTACTGTACTTTACATATCTAGGAAAATGATTAAAAATAAAAAAACCAATAAGCAGGCAGTTATGCTTTGTCTTTTTTCCATTTTAGCAACTTTATTATTGATAATTAATGGTTATTGGCATGCTTATTATCCTTTTTTTTTTTTCTCTTTTCCCTGTTTGTTTCTATTATAAATTTGCAAATTGTAATCTTTCTTGTGTTTAACGTCCCAGGTCCAACGTTATGAGAGACTTTGACCGCTAGTTCCTCTTGGATCTTTAATATGCAAGCAGGAGATTGCACAGTATAATCTAAACTTAAGGCGTTTTTGGATAGAGGACCACTTGCTAAAGAAAATTTTTACTAAAAGGTTATTAAGAAAATATTATACTGAAGATTAAAAATTATTATATGAAAAGTGTTGTATTTTAATCACTGTTTTGTTACGCTCAAATAATTGAATTGGTGTTAACACCATAGATTTTGATGTAAAAGGGTTTAAGATACGTCTTGTACCTCTTTAAAAGAAGTGTTTTTTTTTTTTTTAATATTGTATAAAAAATTACAAAGTTTTGTAATGAAGTTTTCTTAAATTATTAACTTTATTATATTTGGTAAAAAATTGAAATAGATAAAAGTAGTAAGGAAAGTTATTAAATGAATTGTCTCCAAATCTTTAATCTAAAGATAAAATCTAACAACATCTATTATTTTAGGTGAGATGGAGTATAATTAATACAAGTCTAATTAAAATTTTAATTATACAAGTGCATATAATATAACATATGAGTTAAAGAAGTCAAGTAAACAACTCAGATAAATAACTTTAAACCCCCTATACACATTATTTAACTTATACTTACTGTTATACTCTTTCCATGCCACCACTTATCCAGTTTTGTTTTGTCACAGTTTAGATGTGGTACTTAACCCAAACTGTAAACAAAGAAAGAAATTGTAAAAGGCGTAGGCCCAATCCAACTGAAGAAATGGTAGAGAGTCTTTGAGACTTTAAACAAAGTAGCTAAAAACTCAGCTCAACCCAACGGAAAATTTTTTTACACAAAGCAGGATTCCTCTGTTAATTTCTAGCGTTTTTACCAGGAACTTCCATTTCCTTTTCTCTTACGATGCCATTTAAATTAGTATCGGTGAGAATTAAGCAAAAAAAATACTTTCTTTGTTTGTTTCGGCGCTCGATTCATTCTCTACTCTGGGTGTGTGGGATTTAACTTGGAATTGAAAATTTGTGTGGATTTTGTTCACTTCAGGACTGTGTTTTCTTCACCCATGAAGAGAGCAATGCCGTGGAGTGATGATGAGGTTGATGTTATCTCTTCTGATCAATCTTCTTCAGAAGCAGAGGCGGATGATAATGATGGAACCAGTAATTCGCCTATTGAGCAACCACCCCCAAGAATTGTCCCCTCAAGGTACTTTCAAGACATGGGTTTCATCTCGCTTTTGTTTGAGTCTACAAATTTCTCATTTTCTGTCCGGTTCATGTCCTCTTACTGTCTTGCTCTTGGCAAGAAAGCAACATTTGACTGTAACAATGGTAATAGTTTCTAACAAGGTAATTGGTTGCTTTTTATAATGTGGGATTTTAGATACAATCTCGTCTTCAGTTCTACATGAAGTTTGGTGGTTGTTGTGAGAATTGTAACCGTTTGGAAAGGAAGCAAAAACACTAATGGCAATGGGTGCTTTAGCTGTATAATTGGCTTTTTCTAGTGTAACTGGCTGAAGGAACAGATTACCTATCTTATTCTTGTCTACTCTTAATGATGTAGTATTGACGAGCAATGTAATAGGTGCTGAATCACAGAATTGTTTTAGGAAGTTGTCTGAAAGGGGTAACGGTTGTGTTTGATTCACTGAAATGTAATGCGATGTTATAATTTGATCGATTCTCGTAGAATTAATTAGTAGTATTCTTTCATGGAAGAATTGTTGTTGTTTTGTTTACTTTTGCTAGTGCTAGATATTGGGTTTAAAATCAACCTAGATGGGTGAGTTTTTTTTT